ATAGCCTGTTCACCTCCAAACACTACTGGGAAATACAAGAACAATCCTTTAGATAAATTTATATGGACAAGCACTTCTACTGCTAAGGAAGAAACAATTAGGATAATGAACTAATAACAAAATAAATCCTTTAAAAATAAAGAAAAATAAGCAATAAATAAAAACAGCATAGAACTGGCATAAAGATAGACAAACAGTCCAATGTACAAAACAGAAAGCCCAGGAAGCAGCCCTTGCATTGAGTGTCACAGACTTCTGATAAGGTGCTAGATGGCACAATGAGGGAGGACAGTCTCATCAAAATCAGTGTGAGGAAAATCAGACTTTCACATGCAGTACAAGATGGACTCATGAGAGTCCAAAATGACTTACACCATGTAAAAAAAATTAACACAAACAGACTAAAGACATAAGCAAACAACTGAAAACTATAAAACCCCTAAAAGAAATCACTGGGGAAGACATAACACCAAAAGCAAGGGCAACTAAAGCAGAAACAGGATTACTTCAAACTAAAAAGTTTCTGCAGTAATCGATCAACAGAAAGCAAAGGAGAAAATAATACAAACCGTAAATTTAATCAGTGTCAAAATCCAGAACATAGAAGAACTCAATAACAAAGAAAATGACCTGATTAGAAAATCAGTAAAGGACCCGAGTAGAAACTTCACCAACTTGGGCACAGTGGCACACACCTATAATCCTAGGACTCTGGGAAGCTGAAGCAGGAGGGTGGCAAGTTCAAGCCCAGCCTGGGCAAGTTAATGGGACCTTGTCTCAAAATAAAAACTAAAAGGGGGTGGGGATATAGCTCAGTGTGAAGGCCCTAGGTTCATGCCCCAGTGCTGAGAGAGAAAAGAAGGAATTTTACCAGAGGTACAAATGTCTACCAAGCGTACAGAAGGATGCTCACATCATTGTCAGAGAAATGTAAATCAAACCACCTCTCATACCCATTAGCATGGAGTGAGATGTGTGTGAAAATGATTAAGACGGGATATGTGTATGTACCAGTCCCCCAAGGTGAATGCAATTATCATGTATTGAAAATATATACTAATCAAAAAAAGCAAAATTGCTAGGCACAGTGGCACATGCCCTTATTCCTAGCTACTCAGGAAAGAAGCTAAGGTAGAAGGATTGCTAGTGTGAGGACAGCAACTTAGTGAGACTCTTATCTCAAAAATAAAATAAAATAAAATGGCTGGGATGTAGCTCAATGGTAGAGCAGAGCATCTCTGGGTTTCATCTCCAGTACTGGAAAAATAAATCTCACTTCTGGGCATAGATCCAAGGAACTGAAATAAGGATCTCAAAGGGACACCTGCACCCCTCAAAGGACAAATACTGTATATGAGGTCCCTAGAGTTGCCAAACTCAAAGGGACAGCAAGGAACAGTGATGCTTGGGGGCCAGGAAGAGGGGACATAGAGGGTATGCTACCAGGAGCTGAGCCAGAATGTAGATCAGGAGCCCTGGGGCTCCCAGTAGCAACCCTAATACCCCACCATGCCCCCAACCATCCAGTCAGGTTTTATGTATGATTCTAATTGTTCCTTCTCACCAAGCGCTCACCGCAATTCATGGACGTGTCAGCTGTTTCCACTCAGTCCATTTCTATTACTTGTTAAAAACTGCTTATGCCCTTTACCATTTTCTCTGAAAGTTGACAGCTGGGACAGAACCACTGTCACAGTGGCCACCTGCCGTGGCTTCTGTGGACGTGTCTTCAGCAGGGACTTCCTAGGCTGGAGCATATCCACAGCCAGCTTTCCAAAGTGATCAGTTCTCAGAGTACTGCTCCACATCAGGGAGCTCTGGGTCCTAGCACCCAGTATCCTCGGCCTTCTTAGGTTCGGCCTCCTGTATGGCCTAGAAGTACCCTGTTTGCCAACTAATAATGTGGGCACTTTTCATGTGCTTGCTGGCTATTTCGATAGTGTCTGTTGCTATCTTTTGTTCATTTCCTCTAAAAAACTGGGTCATCAATCATTTCCTTCCTGTCTTCTACTCCAGTAGTCCTGTTGGAAATGTAGCAAGTATCTCCTGAAAAGGATGTGTTCCAAGAGAATATTCATCAAAACTGAGTAGGATGAACCTTGAACAGACTTCTAACCATAGAAAAAACTGAAAGCCTGTGTTCAAGTTTTAGGCTGGGATATGTTACCCATCTTTCAGGATTAGCATGGAGCTGCCCAGAAGCCCTGTGGAATGTTGGAGACATTCAAACTCCTGGCCCTGGTCGTGTTTGAGCAATGCCAGTTGTTATCAACTATCACTAGGCAAGATACTTGACATGAAGTTCCAAGAAGAGTCAAACTGGCCAAGATTATACCACATTGGACAGTCCCACAGATGCTGGGCATGCACCACAGAGAGCCCAGGCTCCAGGGCAGGATGCCTAGGACCCACGCGGCTTTCCATCCCCTACTGTGTGGCCCTGAGCATACTATGAACCGTGCATGATTTCTCAAGGAACACAACAGTCCCTACCTCCTCAGGGCTGATTTATGTAAAGCATTTGGGCAGAGTGGAAAGGGTGTTCCTAGTATTCGCAACAGCCTAAATGATTAAGCATGTTCAACGAAGGCAGAAAAATAATATCAACAGTCCAATAAAAAACAATAAAGAATATGAACAAAATACAAATGGTCAATAAACACAGAAAACTGTGTTCAACTGTACTGGTCATTAAAGAAATGCAAACTAAAACAGTGGAATATAATTAATTTCCATGCACTAACTAGATGGAACCCAGAGCCTCAAACATGCTATGCAAGCACTGGACCACTGAGGCTCCCCTCCCCCTTCCAGCATTAACTTAACAAAAACTAGAAATAAGATTCAGCTTCTCACATACTCCCAAGGGGCCAGAGGTGGACATGTCACTAATGATGAACTGTCTTTCAATGGAGGTGGTGGGGTCACAGGGTGCTCCCAAGTCCTCACCCAGGTGGGTGGACACAGGGCCCCCAGAGACCAACTTGCAACTGTGCAGAGGGAACAGGGCTCAAGGTGTGGCCAAGGGGGCTGAGAGTAATTTTTTCTGGTGAGGAGGAGAATTAGCTCTGTCAGGTTTTTCTACAAACCTGAGCTGTGGAGCCAGGAGCAGTGGTGCCCACCTGTAATCCCAGCACTCTGGATGGCTGAGACAGAAGGACTGAAAGGTCAAGCCCAGCCTGGGTAAACTCAGCAACTTAGACACTGTCTTAAAATAAGAAACAAACAAGCAGGGCCGGGGATTTAGCTCAGTGGTTTCGTTGCCTGCTGCGCAAGCACAAGGACCCAAGTTCGATCCCCGGTACCCCCCCGCAAAAAACCAACTAAGAAACAAACAAGCAAAAAAAGCAGCCTTATATAAACACTTCAATGGAATGCACTTTTATGTGGTCACATTATGTCCCTTGGCCTCTTGCAATGTAGTTTCATTGTCCTTAGCTTTAAACACAAGAGTAATCTTTAAGAACCCTGCACTATGTGTTAAACACCAGGTAGTATGTGTAAAACAGGGAGCTCCAGTAACAACTTTTTTTTTTGGTACCGGGCATTGCACTCAGGACCTTGTGCCAGGGATGCAGGTGCGGTGCCATTGAGCTAAACCCTCGGCCGTCCAGTAACAACTTTTAACCTATGAGTTGGCAGAAAAAAGTATTGGTATTATATATATGAAAACTGGCTAATATTTATTTATTGACGATACCACATTCATTATGTTGCAGTAGTGTATAGATTTTTTCTTAAAAATCGCCTATCTGTACATATTGGTATTTGTAACTTTAACACACTGTTACGTGAAAAAATGTTACTGAGAAAACTGATCAGCCATTTTTAAAAGGTCCTGTCATATATTTTGCAATGAATGACTGAAAATCATTTTAACCACTGCCATGGAAAAGTTAAAGGCAAAATTAAAAGGTTTTATTCGTTTTAAAATTTTCTCCTAAAAAGCCCTCCCTATTTATGCATTATTATTTTTTTTTTTTTTTGGTACCGGGGCTCGAACTCAGGTTCTTGCGCTTGCGCAGCAGGCAGCGAAACCACTGAGCTACATCCCTGGCCCTATTTATGCACGTTTAAAGCCCCTGAAAATGTGTGGATAATAAAGCTGACAATGTTCTGCTACAATTTGCAGTTGAAAAAAAATGCAGAAGTGGGGGAGAAGGCTAGAGCTCAGTGAGAAGGCGCTGGTTTCAATCCCCAGTACCCAAAACCAAAAAAACCACCCAGAACCGAGCTGTTAACATCTGGTTTCCGCGCGGTAAGAAGCGCACCGACTGAGAAGGTGAGAACGGCTTCCGGGAAGAGGCAGGTCCCCGGCGAAGAAGCTGAAGCGCGCCGGCCTGCACCTGCCGGACCTGGGCGCCAGGGCGGGGCCACCGCAGGGGCGGGGCGTGGGGAAACGCGCCCTGACGTCACGAGACGCGCCGACGCCGCAGCGGGTACGGGCGAGGGCGGACGGGCGGGTGGCACGGCGCCCCCTGCGGCCGGCCCGGGCTGCGGGCGTCGGGCTCAGTGCGAGACGGGCGTCTGGGGGCGGGCAGCCCCTGCAGGCCAGGGCCGCCGCGCAGGCAGGCAGGCTCCATGCTGCTGCCGCTGGCCTGCCTGCACGGGCGGGTGGCACAGTGCCTGACCTCGCTGCTGGTGCTTGCAGAGCCGCTCCCCAGGCCCAGGCGCGGCACGAGGGTGCGCGGCGCGACGCCGCCCTGCGCGGAGGTCCCCGCTGCCGCGCCCGGGAAGATGGCTGCGGAGCTGTACCCTGCTGCTGCTGCTGCTGCCGCTGCCGCTGCCGCCGCCGCCGCCGCCAGCGACCTGGCCAACAGTAACGCGGCGGGCGCGGCAGGCAGCAGGAAGGCAACCCCGCGCAGCCCACCGTGCCCCGCGCCCGCTCCGCCGCCGCCTGCACCCGCGCCGCCCGCGCCCGACAACAACAACGCCGAGAGCCCGCACTGGCAGGCCTTCCACCCCACGCTGCGCGAGAGAAACGCGCTCATGTTCAACAACGAGCTCATGGCCGACGTCCACTTCGTCGTGGGGCCCCCTGGGACGGCTCAGCGGGTGCCCGCCCACAAGGTGAGTAGCGTCGCAGCCCCCCCCCCCCGCCTGCGGGGCCCCGCCCCTGCTCACGGGCTCTCTCTCGCTCATAGTACGTCCTGGCCGTCGGCAGCTCCGTCTTCTACGCGATGTTCTACGGGGACCTTGCGGAAGTCAAGTCTGAAATCCACATCCCGGACGTGGAGCCTGCCGCATTCCTGGTCTTGCTAAAGTAAGTACTCCGCGGGGAGGGTCGGAAGGGGGGGGATTTACCTCCCTGCTGCCACCTGCAGCCCGGGAGGGGCCACCCAGCCGTCCTCGCCTTCCAGGTACATGTATAGTGACGAGATCGATCTTGAGGCTGACACGGTGCTGGCTACTCTGTATGCTGCCAAGAAATACATTGTGCCTGCCCTGGCAAAAGCCTGCGTCAATTTTCTGGAGACAAGTCTGGAAGCCAAAAACGCCTGTGTCCTGCTGTCCCAGAGCCGGCTGTTTGAGGAGCCTGAGCTGACCCAACGTTGCTGGGAGGTCATTGATGCACAGGCCGAGATGGCCCTGCGGTCTGAAGGCTTCTGTGAGATTGACCGGCAGACACTGGAGATCATTGTGACTCGGGAGGCCCTCAACACCAAGGAGGCAGTGGTCTTTGAGGCTGTCCTGAACTGGGCTGAGGCGGAGTGCAAAAGGCAGGGCCTGCCAGTCACTCCACACAATAAGAGGAACGTTTTGGGGAGAGCCCTCTATCTGGTCCGAATTCCAACCATGACTCTGGAGGAGTTTGCCAATGGTGCCGCCCAGTCAGACATCCTGACACTGGAAGAGACCCACAACATTTTCCTGTGGTATACTGCTGCCAACAAGCCCCTCCTTGACTTCCCACTGACCAAGAGGAAAGGCCTTGCCCCTCAAAGGTGCCACCGCTTCCAGTCTTCTGCCTACCGAAGCAACCAGTGGCGGTACCGTGGGCGCTGCGACAGCATCCAGTTTGCTGTAGACAGAAGGGTGTTTATTGCTGGGCTGGGCCTGTATGGGTCCAGCTCTGGGAAGGCCGAGTACAGTGTGAAGATTGAACTCAAGCGGCTGGGGATGGTCTTGGCTCAGAATCTGACCAAGTTTGTGTCAGATGGATCCAGTAACACCTTCCCGGTCTGGTTTGAGCATCCGGTCCAGGTTGAGCAGGATACCTTCTACACAGCCAGTGCTGTCCTGGACGGCAGCGAGCTCAGCTACTTTGGGCAGGAGGGGATGACAGAAGTGCAGTGCGGTAAAGTGGCCTTCCAGTTCCAGTGCTCCTCGGATAGCACCAACGGGACTGGGGTCCAAGGTGGGCAGATCCCAGAGCTCATCTTCTACGCCTGAGGCTGAGGGGCCCCGGAGAGTGCACCACCTGGCCCTTTCTCCCAGAAGCCACCCAGTAAGTGCGGGGGAAGTGTGGGACACTGCTGTCTACCTTGTGGCACTGTTAAAGGCTTCACTACTTGTATCAGCTTGAATCTGTGAACAGGCACCTTTTCCACACAGTCAGAGCCTGGAGGCTGAGGCTTGGTGTCTCCTGTTCATGGGGCACACGCCTCAGATGGGGTGGTAGAGTTGGGACCCAACCCAGGCTCCAGATCCCTGCCCAGTGGCAACCAAGCTTTGGGCACTTGGATGTTCCTTCCAGCCTTTTGGATTCCAAGTAGTTCCAAGCTTGCCTTGAGACCCTCCCTTCAAATAAAAATCACTGAAAAGTCACTTAAAATAGTTTACCTATTTAAGTGGATTTTCATAATAAAGGTTTTGCAGAAATGCGGTCCACGTATAGGTAAGTGGCTATAGGAACCCTATGCTGGGGCACTCTGTCCCAAAGATCTAGGTCACATCCCATGAGCACTTTGCTGCCATCTTCCCATCGGGAAGGTTGTTGACTGACATCCCTCTCTGGGAATTCCCTCAGCTGCAAAGAGCTGTCTTGACCAAGGTCATCCCCTTTTCTGGAGCAGCTGACACCCAAAAACTGGTCAAAGGATAAAAGGCCCAACATCTCGTTCCATTTCTGAAGGATCATCTCAGTATTCACTGCTCTATATTGGGTGAACCGAGATGTTGCTATGGCTGGTCTGCAGCCCATCTTTTCCATCTTCCCTGCTGATCAGTGCCGAGTGGTTAGAAAGAAACTGCATCCCAGGGGAGCCCATCTGTCCCCTAGGTCCCTGTGTGGCATCTAGGATGGCTTCCTGTCTGGGCTGTGGCCAGGTTTACTTCCCAAAAGTATCACTGTACCCCTCTTCTCAGGTGTGCACTCCATGGCTTTGCTTTGTCCTGGAAAAAATCTCACCTCGACTTCCAGAGAGAGGGATGACCACACTGGTAGTAACCCAGGAATAGGGTCTCAGCTGCTCCACTCTGGTCCAGGTGGTGCCTCTTGACTACCAGGAGGACAGCTCCAGATGCCGACAGTCACTAGTAAGAAGGCTCTCTAGGCCAGCTACAAAAACCAGTCTTGTTGTAAAACTCAAAGGAGGAGTGGGGGGACAGCACCCATCTCCAGAAGCCGCCTCTCATTCCTGTCTATGAGCAAGTCCTGCCTTCCTTAAGGTGCCTGGTGGCTATTTATGTTCCTCAATCCCTTTTGAACAAGGCAGGCTCCCAACTCCAAGTGCTATCCCCATCTTCCCCTATCTGCACCTGGCGGGCATCAGCAATGGATCTTCTGGTTTTTACCAGCAATCAAGCCCCACCCATGTGGACTGAGGGATTTGAAGGGTTTCTTGCCTTGGAGTCTTGCACTTTGATGTGCCATCCCTCCCACTCTCCAGCACCTTGGCATGCTGGTTTCCAGAGGCCCAGTGGTACCCTACCCACACCCGGCATACCTATAGCTGGTGCGTTGATGCAGAGCTCCCGTGCTAGGAGCAGAAATGTCTTCCCCAACACATACACGTTCACCTGTGGTGGGAAGAGCACAGCCAGAAATGCATTGGTGTTTAAGGAAATGTTTCCTTTTTTTATTTTTGTTGAACTGGGGATGGAACCTAGGGATTTATACATGCCAGGCAAGTGCTCTACTACCAAGCTACATCCCCAGCACCTTTATGTTCTCCACAAAGTGCCTATTTTTATTCTTTAGTTTTTAAAGACTTCAATGTCAGAGCAGCTGCAGCCTATGTAGCGCACCCCCCCACACCCAGTGTGGCTGTCTCCTCTGATCCCCAGGTCACACAGGAATAGGCTCCCGTTTTCTTCCAGGCCACTGCTTGCACTCAGCTGCACTGCCTAGCCAGTGATGCATTTGCTTAGAAACCCAGCCTGCAGGGTACCTGTCAGGTATGGTCATGCTTGTGCCCACAATGCTTGATTCAAAACCAAGCAAGGCCTGCCTGCCTGGCCACACCTCCTCTACCCCTTGGCCATGTGGGCCCAAGAGGTCTTGTGTTTCTCCACTGTTCCCATCAGTCACCTCTCCCCCTTGCCACAGTGGGTGGGTGGAAAAGGTAGGGCCCAGTCCTAGGGCTGTCTCAGGGGTGTCAGTCTGTGGTTGGAGTGCTCTGGCTTGTGTGCAGAGCCCCAGGCAGTTTAGCACCTTGGTGCAATCCTGAATGGACTATGCTTCCAAAGGAGTCCAGTGCTGACCAGAGGTGTTGCAGGTTGTGGGGAAGATGCTTCTGAGGGGTCAGGCAGGTATAGGATGAGCTATCTAGACAGGGCAGCTTGGACAGCAGGCAGGGCTAGGAGCCCCAGGGGACCCTGTTGCTGTTTCTTTCCAGGCTTGCCCCTGGGACTTCCAGGCTTCACAGTGTGACCAATCTAGCCCTTTGCCTCTGGCTTCCCCAAAGAACAACTTGCCTGAGCAAGCCTGGCCTGTGGGCCCTTGGCCAAAGTCCTTTTTCCTAGCAGGAAAGTGGCATCCTTGGACCTTGCAGACTTGAAAGGACCAGGGAGTCTAAGGGATGACACACAGTGTTAGAGGTAGGAGCTGAGGGAATCCTTGAGACGTGTGCTCATGGAGCATGACAGGAGGGCCAAGGCTGAGACTCGATATCTAGCAGCAGGCAACTGTTCAGTCACGGCCCCTCACCCCAAACAGGTGCACTTTGTCTTTGAGGTCCCCAAGAGCTCTATCCTAAGGGCTGGTGGCTCACAGTATGGTTTCTCAAGGGGGACTCATGAGGGTCTGTGCGCCAATCTGGATGGTATGTGTAAGCATGTCGTGTGAGCATGCAGGTATGACATATGGGCTGCATGTGTGACATAAGTGTGTTTGCATAGTGTGTGCAAGCATGTAGTTGTTCAGCGTGTAAGTTTGTGGTGGGTGCACGTGTGTGTGGTGTGTCTTCACTGCAGAGGCATGCAGTGTGCGCATGGGCATCCCAGGACGCCAGCCAAGCCCCTGGGTCTTGGCTCTCCTGGCACCACCTATGTTTAGGTCACTGGTGGGATGACCAGGTCCCACTGGAAGGCCATCCTTGGGCTTTGCCTGCCACTTCAGGCTCCTTGGCACCTTAGCCTTGAGTCTTAGACACAAGGTTAGATAATGAGCCTTCAGCACTGCAGAAAAGGGTTCTCTAAACAGACTTCAAATGGAAAGTCAAAGTTGTAAAAAGTTATGTGTATAAAAATACATGCAACACTTTCCAGAGATACTTTTTTTTAGATAGATCTCACAGTGTTGTCCAGGCTGACCTTGAACTCGGGCTGAAGGGATCCTCACTTCACACTCCTGATAGTGGGGACCACAGAGGTACTTAATGCCTACGAGTACTGTTTGTCAGAAATGGTCCCACTAGCAGTGTGAGGCTAACACTGCTCCCTGAGGGCAGGTGGCCAGGGCTAGGTGGGGCTGGCCCGCATTCCCATTTCTCCAAGAAGGGCATTGGATTCTGCATGCAGAGTGCCCTTGTGGGTCTTGATTTCCCCTCTGGGGCACCATGCACCAGGGCAGGTAGCAGCCCTGTGTCCGCCATAAGGCAGGGATCAAGTAGCCTTCCACGTGGGCTCACCAGAGGACCCAGGGAACAGGGTGTAGACAGTTTCCTCAAAGCAGTCAGACTTTTTGGAAGGTAGACTTCCTGGGTGAGGTCCCAGAGGGCGAAGGCATGTGCCACACCCAGGTCCTAAGAAAGTGGGGCCCCTCCTAGGCCCCCATGGAGATCTCAGGGGAACAGAGGAACTTGCTCCTCACTTGCTGGCCCCTCCAGATCCCAGCAGGCTGGCAAGGCCCAGCCTCCTGCAGGCACTAAGGCCTCACACTCAGTTCTGCCCCACTAGCTACAGTCCCAGAGGTCAAATCAGAGTGTCCACCCTGACCATGTGGCCCTTCCTAGCCACCTCCTGTCCAGACACCCTGGCTAGCTTCTCTTGCCAAAGCTGTGAAGCTGGAGCTGACTGCTGCATCCCATTCTGCCTCCCAGTGCTGCCAAGCCACTTCCTGTTGCCTGCCCCCCCATCCCCATCTTTCTGGGAAGTCACCAGCTTGGAAATGGGGTCATGTGACCTTGCCTTGAACTGAGTGCAGCACATTTGGAATGTGAAGTCACTGGATGATCACAATTCCAACAGGTTATTTTTAGCTTCCCCACAAAATATTTCAGAATAACTGCTGAGCGATGCCACTTATAAAGACAGTTGGGAAGACAGAAATACAGGGCACATGTGAGCCATGGGGACTCTTAACTGTGGATACAGTACTGGAGGACACCAAGGCCCAGGCACCAGAGGTGGCACCCTGGCCTGTGGGCTCCCAGACCCTGGGGGCCTATCAGATCTGGACAGAAGACTTCATTTCAGTGTGAAATCCAGCACATCTTCACACTAGTCACCTGTTTTCAATGGCATTTCTCTTTCCTGGTCCTCAGTAGAGTTATCACTGTGGGCCTCAGGGCCCAGCCATCACCCCAAAGCTGTCCATGAGGACACAGTTCGGGGTCTCAGTGCCCACTCTCCCATCCATGAATGTTCCTGGTTGGGTTTTCTCACAACATTCATTTGTTTAGAAATGAGAGATGCGCTAGAAGATGCTTTCTCTGAACCCAGAAAACATGACTATAAACCAAGGGTAAATGTAAGGCTTTTCCACAGTTTAAAATGCCTAACAGGGGCCCACTTTTTCCCCTTTACTTTTACTTTTTTTTTTTGGTACTGGGAATTGAACTCAGTACCTTGCGCTTGCTAGGTGGGTGAGGCACCACTGAGCTAAATCCCCGGCCCAACGGGGAGGCTTTAAAAGTAAAGGGCCTCCCCATCGGGCCGGGGATTTAGCTCAGTGGTTCCACTGCGTGCCTTCCAAGCACAAGGTCCTGAGTTCGATCCCTGGTACCAAAAAACAAAAACAAACAATAAAGATTCCCCTTTACCCAAGACAAAGTTCCACTGGTTTCTCATGTGCTTCCAATGCTGGGCTCTGGGCTCTTTACTCTGAGCAACACTGTGACTGTGAGCCAGCTGGGAGCTGCCCTTTGGAGCCCCAGTACACCCAGACACATGCCATGCTAGCTACTCCCCCCAAAAGGTGGGGCCTCCCAGCCATCCCTTGCGTGGGGAAGCCCTAGGAAGGAAAGTGGTCTACCTGAAGCAGGTCACTGAGGTCGAGGAGCATGTCTGCAGCCAGGGTTAAGGAGCATCTGCATACTTAGGAGCTGAGCCACATCCCCCGCTCTCAACTTGGCACTGATCAGGAAACAAAGGCCCTGATGGAACCCAAGATGGGACATAATGCCTGGCCAGGACCTTCTGTCCCCCAGACAAGGGGGGCAGGGGCGCGCA